AATTTGTCTGTCAGTCTGAAACACACAGGCCTGTGCATTCCTGAGTGATTATTAGCAACAGTGTGAATAAAAGAGCAACACAGTGTATCTGACGGTGTGTTTTGGGATTGTATATCTGCTGTTTTGTGTGCTCCAGTGTCTTCAGACTCCAGCGAGAGCCGAAGCGCAGGCATGTTCAGCAGTGTTCTCAGGATTCCTCTGCTTCTGCTGCTGCTCTATGGGTTTGTCTGTTCACTGGACGTCCTAAGCTCCGCGTTTCAACTCGCTGGAGGTAAATACTCATCTCACTGTAATTCACCTAGTTAAGTCTTTACATGTCAGTTTAAGTTGAATACTAAATAAATTAATATATTGAAAAATATTAAATTATTAAAAAAAGACTAGTAAATTATTATATGTTGCCATCATGGCAAAAGACATTAGTTATTAAGAAAATGTTATTAAATTAATTATGTTTTGAAAAATAATCTCAGTTAAACAGCACTTGTATAATATTTAAAAAATAAATAGTAATAAAATGAATATGAATGAAGGTCTTAAGGGTTTGAGACAACTTGAAGATGAGTAATCAATTGCATAGTTGTAATTTTTGTGTGAACGAACCCTTTAATGTGATCAGGTCAGACTCAGCAGTGTGTCATGAATCCTCCGCTGTGATCTTCTCTATAGGGAAAGTGGCCGGTGATATCTTCCAGGACAGTGTGATCCTGTCCAACCCGGTGGCGGGGCTGATGGTGGGCATTCTGGTCACGGTTCTGGTCCAGAGCTCCAGCACCTCTACATCCATCATAGTCAGCTTAGTGTCGTCTGGATGTAAGAGAAACATCATGCATTTAACTGAACTGAAGTTTTCTGAAATAATGCATCAAAATAAAGTGAGTTTTTCCTTAAAACAAGCAAAATAATCTGACAACAGGGGAAGAAAAATAAACTGGTGTCATAGAAATAACTAAATCTGCTCTGGATTTACAGAGCTACACGTTCACACTCACAGTAAGGTGCAGTATGTAGGATTGAGAGTCCATACATTGAGAGTCCTAAATGCAGGTTGCCAGATTGACAGAAACCGTGTGCTACTGGAGATATCCCTCTGGATGAGGCAGTGTTGTTGGCATTATTAGTGGATTCTGGGTGTTTTTGCTCGTGTTTGATCAGTCAGGATGAGCTCATTAGCTGTGAACGTGCAGATCTGTGGAGTTATAGTTCAGACTCAATCACAGCAGATGCACTCGCGTCATCACCAGCTTTTGTTTGGGCTAATTAACTCATGTTTAACACACGTAAACAAAGGCTACCCAAATCTTAGAGAACTCCAGAAGTAAAACATGATATTAGAGTAGGAGAAAGACACACATTGGGTTTTGGTGTGGGGTTAGGGAAGGTGGAGGGAATACACAGTTTACATCATTACATCAATGTGAAGTCCCCATAAGTATAGCTGTTCATGTGTGTGTGTGTGTGTGTGTGTTTGAGCAGGTGGCTTTCAGAGTCACGTACTTGACAAAAAGCCGAAGCCTTGCAGAATCAGCCTTGAGTCACACAAAGCTCTTTGCTTTTCTCTGTGAATGAATGTCCAGTGTGTGAGAGTGTGTGTTCATTCACACTGGGCTCTTCAGCTAAAACACACAGTAGGAAAAGATCTAAAACACACTCCAGAAGAGGAAAACACAGCACTACTGAGTCTAAATTGAAAAATAAAAATGCTGGATGATTGCATGATTGAAGAGAGAGTCTGTGGAAAACTCCTGGGGACAATTAATGTCCACCGTATTACAATAAGTTATTCATTAATTATGAGTATTGAGATTAGAGTTAATACTGTGGTCAGCTGATCTGCTTGTGATGTTATGATTGACCAATCAGAAACCAGCATTCCAGAGAGCCGTGTAATACATTGCAGTAATGATTTACTGCATTTTTAATCTGATAAACTCATCTGTGTTGATCCCAGTCTTGTGACCGTCAGTGTGTTTGTGTTGTTTTCTGTGTGTGTCGCAGTGCTGGAAGTGAAATCTGCCGTCCCCATCATCATGGGCTCCAACATTGGCACGTCGGTCACCAACACCATCGTGGCTCTGATGCAGGCGGGGGAGAGGAACGAGTTCAAGCGGTACAAACTCTGTTTCATCAGGGTCTAATCAAACACTCTGAATCACTTAAAGAGGAGAAAATGATCTTATTAGCCTTTTCAAAGACACACGCATAGAGATTCTATACAATCAATCAATCAATTAATCAATCAACAAATCAATTGATTGATCAATCAATCAATAAATAATTCAATCTTCAAAACATTTCTGATCTTGTTGTCCCATCTATTTATCAATGAATCACTCAATCAATCAATCAATCAATCAATCAATCAATCAATCAATCAATCAATCAATCTGTCAATCAATCTGTCAATCATTCTGTCAATCAATCTGTCAATGAGTCAGTTAGCCAATCACTCAATGAATTTGATCATCAATCAGTCAGTCAGTCAGTCAATCAATCAGTCAATCAGCCTATCAATCAATCAATCAATCAATCAATCAATCAATCTGTTAATTAATCAGTCAGTCAATCAATCAATTTAATTGGTCATCAATCTAGTCAATCAATCAATCAATCAATTGGTCAATCAATAAATCAATGTTTAAAACATTTCTGATCTTGTTGTCCCATTTATTTATCAATAAATCCATTATCACTCAATAAATTAATAAACGAATCAATCAATTAATCAATCTATTAGTCAGTCAGACAATCAATCAGTGAATTTGGTCATTTATTAATCAATTAATAAATCAATCAATTAATCAGTCAGTCAGTCAATTTGCCAAAAAGTCAATTATTCAATCAAACAATCAGTCAATCAATCAATCAGTTATTTAATCAGTCAGTCAATCAATCATTTTGTCAATCAGTCAGTATGCCAATTAGCCAATCAATCAAATAATTTAATTGGTCATCAATCCAATCAATCAATTAATCATGTTCAATGTTCAAAACATTTCTGCTTTCTAGTTATCAACGAATCGCTCAGTAAATAATAAATAAATGAATGTATCAATCAATCAGTCAGTCAGAAAATCAATTAATCAATCTGTTAATTAGTCAGTCAATTTGTCAGCCACTTAGCCAAATAATCAATTAATTGAATTAATTATCAATCCAATCAATCAATTAATCAATCAATCAATCAATCAGTCAATTGGTCAATAGATCAATCAATCAAGAAAGTAAGTTAGTACGTCAGTCAGTTAATTTGTCAATCAATTCATTTGTTGTCCGTCAATCAGTCAATCAATCAATCAATCAAATAATCTGTCGATCATTTAATCAATCAGTCGATTAAACAGTCTGTGAATCAATCAATTATTCAATTTCATCATCAATCAGTCAGTCAGTCAATCAACAAATGAATCATGCGAGCAATTAATCAATTCATTATTCTATCAATCAATCAATTGATTGATCAGTTAGTCAATCAAAAAAATCAATCATCATTTTATCACTCTACCAATCAATCAGTGATCAATGATTTATTTATTTTATTTTCAGCGCCCTGACAACATGGACTTTTCATAAAAACAACAGCAGATTGTAGATTTACTGTGTGAACGTCTCAGAAGCAGAAGACACATGCTTGATTTCTAGCTTAGGCCTATGATAAACCCATCAGCCCTGCATCAGCACAGCAGGTAATGATGAGTGAGTGACCGACCTGCTGTGCTGCTCAGACACAGACCTGCATCATTCATCATTTCCATTACATTACAGATCAAATGTGCTGCACATTCCTTCCAGAACATCTCATTATTTGGGGATAATTACGAGGCATCACTGATGTTGTGTGTGTGTGTGTGTGTGTAGGGCATTTGCGGGAGCAACGATCCACGACTGTTTTAACTGGCTGTCTGTGCTGGTTCTGCTGCCGCTGGAGGTGTTTTCGGGTCTGCTCAGTTTTCTGGCCAGAGTGACGGTCAGCAGCTTTCAGATGCACAGCGGAGAGGAAGCTCCAGAGCTGCTCAAGACCCTCACTGAGCCCTTCACCACACTCATCATACAGGTGTGTGTGTGGGTTTGCCTGTGTGTGAGTGTGTTGTTTTAAGTATGGATGGGTTAATGTGCAGTGCATGCTACATATTGATGGTGTGGGGTATGGAAGAGTGGAAGAGTCTGTGTGTGGGGTGTTAAGTGTTCATTAGCCTGATGGTCTGAGGGAAGAAGCTTTCCTTCAGTCGGCTAGTGCGTGACCTCTGGTTAAAGGAAGATTGCAGGAGGAATGTTTGTTTATAATGCTGTTAGCGTGGATGTTTCAGTGTGTGTGTGTGTTCTGAGCTGTGTTTTCCATCAGTATCCTGCAGTAATACTGGTGTTTTTTTTCTTCCAGCTGGATAAATCCGTCATCACAGGCATTGCTCTGGGCGACGAGTCCATGCGGAATCACAGCCTCATCAAAGTCTGGTGCAAGTCCTCCGTCTTGGTGGTAACATTAACCCAACACACACACATTTATCACACTCATCCACACCCAGCATGATCACTCTCCACCCTCAAACGTTCTCTTTCACCCCAAGTTTTAGTTTCTTCTGTATCTAAAATGTCTTTTTTCTACTATATTTACTTTATGCTTACATTTACATTTAGTCATTTAGCAGACATTTTTATCCAAAGTGACTTACAAATGAGGACAAGGAAGCAACTTACACAACTATAAGAGCAACAATGAATAAGTGCTGTAGGCAAGTTTCAGGTCTGTAAAGTCTAAGAAGGAAAGTGTTAGTACTTTTATAGTAATTTTTTTTTTTTTTTTAGTAAATGTTTTTTTTTTTTTTTTGGGTACAGTTAGTGGTATATCCAGAGAGGCAATTACAGATTAGGAAGTGAAGTGGAGACTAAATAGTTGGGTTTTTAGTAGTTTCTTGAAAGTAGCGAGTGACTCTGCTGTTCTGATGCAGTTAGGGAGTTCATTTCACCAACTGGGCAGATTGAGCGCGAGAGTTCGGGAAAGGGATTTCTTCCCTGCGTAAAACATATATTGGAATAGTTGTCGGTTCATTCTGCTGTGGTGACCCCTGATTAATAAAAGGTCACATCAAAGCACATTGAAAGATTGGGCAGCCCAGTCACCAGAAGTGAACATTATTGAGCATTTCTAGGGTAAGATGAAGGAGGAGGCGTTGAACATGCATCCAAAGACTCTTGATGAACTCTGTGATCCTGCTGAAGGCTTTCTTCTTCATTCCAGATGACTTTATTAATCAGTGGTTTGAGTCATGTCAGAGATATATGGATGCAGTCCTCCAAGCTCATGATGGAGTCAGACACAATATTCATTCTGTCTCCACTGCAGCAGGACTTTATATTCTATACTGGACATTATTTCTGTTCAGTGATGACACTTTAGTCTGAGCAGAGTCAGAGCTCACTGTCCTCATCAATTCAGTCAACATCAAGACATGATCAGATTTTATTGAGCTCTCTAGTAATCTAGAGGCCTTTACCTTTCACAGAGACACTTCTGATATCAAATGACCAACTAGTTATTATTTGTTGTTCCTAAAACTTGGATAGATGACAAGACTTTTGTCAGTAGTATAATATCTAGGCAAGGTTTGTGGAGTTTATAAGTCCATCCCTGCAGGAGAAAAGTAAGCCTCTCCTGGTCCGGTTGTGTTTGGACTTCTCAGACTATTTACAGAAAAGCTCGTGCTGTCAGTCTTTTCTGCCGTTCGTCATTCTCTTCGCACTGTCATGTCATAATTCACAAGACTGTGTGTGTCAGCGCTTCACACACACTCGCTGTTTGCTGCAGAGCTTTTGGAGAAACGTGTCTTTTTCGTTCTGTGTGCAGTCCTCGGTGAATGTGACGCATGCGGCCGTACGAAACTGCACTGGACTGCACTGTGGGAGGGATGGAGACCTGACCTGGATCACTCAGAATATCACCACACACATCAACACGGAGAAATGTGAGTGTCGTTTATTCAGAGGTCAGATGTGTTTTTCTTATTTCTCCTCATATGATTAAACTGATTTATTTGTTTATCTGTGTTGGACAAATCCACTAGAGGGCGCTGGCTATGTTTTTGCGAATCTAAAATGCATTACTTATGTAATGTTGTATGTTTTAGATGACAAATCCACTAGAAGGCGCCGTTAAATTTTTTGGCGAATCTGAAATGCTATTTAGGGTATGTTTTGTTGTACATTTTAGATTGTATCCACTAGAGGGCGCTGTTTCTGTGAATTTTAAATATGCTACTCACAGTATGCTTTGTTGTACATTTTAGATTACATCCACTTGAGAGCGCCGTTTTTTTGTGCGTCTACTAGACGGTGCTGTTTTGTCTTTGTGAATTTCAAATATGTTACAGACCGTTTATTGTACATTTCAGATGTCAAATCCACTAGAGGACGCTGTCTACATTTTTGTGAATATGAAATGTGTCACTTAGGGAACTTTTTTGTTGTATTTTTCTGATGTTAAATTCACTAGAGGGCGCTGGCTTTATTTCCGCGAATCTAAAATACATCACTTAGGGTATGATTTATTGTGCATTTTAGATGATGAATCCACTAGAGGGCGCTGCATTTTTTGCAAATCTGAAATGGTACTTAGAGTACATTTTGTTGTACGTTTCAAATGACAAATCCACTAGAGGGTGCTGTCTGAAATATGTCATCTAGGGTACATTTATTCTGTACATTCCAGATTTTACATCTACTTACTAGAAGGCGCTGTCTAGATTTTTTCAATTTTGAAATACCTCACTTATAGTACTTTTTGTTTTACGTTTCAGATGTCAAATGCAGTAGAGGGCGCTGTATTTTTTGTAAATCTGAAATGTTACCTAGGACACGTTTTGCCATACGTTTTAGATTACATCTACTAGAGGACGCTGTTTTTTTTTTCTTTATGAATTTCAAATACTTTACATTACGGTTTGTTGTACATTTTAGATGTCAAATCCACTAGAGGGCGCTGTCTACATTTTTGTGAATCTGTAATGCGTCACTTAGGGTACGTTTTTGTTGTACGTTTTAGATGTTAAATTCACTAGAGGGTGCTGCCTACATTTTTGCGAACCTGAAATGTTACTTGGGGTACGTTTTTTTTGTACATTTCAGATATCTAATCCACTAGAGGGCGCTGTCTACATTTTTGCGAATCTGAAATGCGTCACTCTGTACTTTTTTGCTGTACGTTTCAGATGTTATATTCACTAAAGGGCGCTGTCTACATTATTGCAAATCTTAAATACATTACTCTGGGTACATTTTGTTGTACTTTTCAGATGCCAAATCCACTAGAGGGCACTGTCTACCATTTTGCGAACCTGAAATGGTACTTAGGGTACATTTTGTTGTACGTTTCAGATGACAAATCCACTAGAGACGCTGTCTACATTTTTGTGAACCTGAAATGTGTCATTGTTTTCATATTTAAAGATATTTGTGTACTACTTTGCTTCCCTGTGTGTGTAAAAAGCAATGTGTCTGCGTGTTTTGGACCCACAAGTAATAAAGACTCTGCAGCTTTTTGTTGGTCAATTGCACCGTCTGTTTCAGTCGCCTCAAAATAGCAATAGGCCAACAATGCACCTTAACACACCTCCTTTTCAGACCAGCACACCTTTAAGTCCACAAAGTGGCACAAATGCATTTGCTATCTAAACAACGTGAGATGCTTAAACGACCCTTGCACCGCTCTGAAAATAACAGAAAAAAAAACACCTGTGCTGCACCTGGTGGTGTATTGCTCCAGGTGTATGATAGAACTCATAGGCTGAAGCAGGTATTTCTAATCCGCCTGTGTTGCTGTATATTATATATAGTGTGGTTTTCCGCTCAGGTCGTCATGTGTTCGTGGATACAGGGCTGTCAGATCTGGCTGTGGGACTCATTCTGCTGGCCGGATCTCTGATGCTGCTGTGCTCCTGCCTGCTGTTCATCGTTAAAGTGCTCAACTCACTTCTCAAAGGTCAAGTGGCCAAGGTCATCGAAGGGGTCATCAACACAGGTCAGTGTCTGCATGTATATATATATATACTAACTAACAAACTAATTAACTAACTGAATGAATAAATAAATAAATAAATAGAGATAAAATTAAATAATAATAATAAATGCATTTTTTAAAGATACCTGATTAAATAAAATTAAAATATTAAATAAATTTAATATTGTTCACGTATATATTATTTGTATATTATATATTTATAAACAATAATAAAAATAATAATAATAATAAACAAAATTTAGAACATTTTGTTGCCTAAATCAAGTAAAGTGTGTTTTCCAATGGATCTGTGTATGTTGTGTGTGTGTGTGTGTGTGTGTGTGTGTGTGTGTGTGTGTGTGTGTGTGTGTGTGTGTGTGTGTGTGTGTGTGTTTGTGCATCAGATTTCCCGTATCCTCTAGGATGGCTGTCTGGATATCTGGCGATGCTGATGGGAGCAGGAATGACCTTCATCATCCAGAGCAGCTCCGTCTTCACCTCCGCCCTCACTCCACTCATCGGTCAGTTTCCCCTTTGTTTTCTATTTATTTATTTATTTACTATTAATTAATTAATTTATTATTTATTTACTTATTTTTTATTATATTTTTATGTATTTATTTATTTACTTATTTATTATGTATTTATGTATTTATTTATTTACTTATTTATTATGTATTCATTTATTTATTTATTTACTATTTATTTATTTATGTTTGTACTTTCATTTTAGTTGTCTTTTATTGCTTTAGTTTTAATTCCAAAATGAATTCTCATTGCACTTAACAAGCATTTAATCATTTATGAAGGAATTAAAATGCTTTGTTTCGTTATTTCATCTTCACTTACAAGTAGCAGAGTATTTACAGCTGCTGTATATTTCAGTTCGTTAGCATCCCGTCTCTTTGTGCTCCCTGGCAGCAAAGTTACAAACTGCTGTTACACCTGAAAACATGTTCTTGATTCCTTAGTCCCGCTCCTTAGTCATCACATGTCTCCATTTAAGCATTTAAACACGTAAATTTTATACTTTATACCATTTTGCTTTTATCTTTAGTTAAGAACTTTTAGATTTGTGCTGGAAAACTAAACAAAAATACACAGAATACATAATGAATCATGTTTAATATCTAAAAAACTATTAAATGAACATTTTCTTGAGAAGCAAAATGTCATATTAAGTCTTGTTTTCTCAATGTTTAATCAAAAATTTATTTAAATTTAAAATAAGACTCAATATTTGCCAGCAGGGTCATAAAAACTAATAAATTCACAAAGAAAACAAGACTAAGTCTGTTCTTGTTTGTGCTGTTGAGTCTGCCAGTAAACAAGACTTAATCTTCTGTCAGTTTGCTTCTCAAGTAAATCTGTATATATTTAGATTGTTTATATATTTATAGTGTAAAAACCATGAAATATAGTGAGTAAGAAGTGAGTCATTCTGCGAAAAACAGTCTAATAAACAAAAGGCAGCAGATTTTGCAGTGTTTTTGGGGAAATAGTTTCAGGCAGCTGTGAAAATCCACAGAGAGGATTGTGTTTCATGCTTCACTGAGACAGAAATACAGAAATACAGAAAGATCTTTACGTGCAGTTCGGAAACTTTGGAAGAAGTCCTTAGTTCAAAGATGACCATGCTTTTTGCAGAAAGCACTTTTAATTTGATGATTCAGTCGTTTTGTTCAGCTCTGAATCAACCAACACACATATAAAGCACTTTTGTTGAACATTTCTGCTGATGCAGTCGAAAATAAGAAACAAGATTATTTTTCTTACTCCATTTAAGCATAAACTTAAGAACAAAACAAGGGCTTATATATGCTTTATCATTTTGCTTGTGTCTTCATTTAGGAATTTTTACCAAAAACAGCAGAAATATGATTAAGGAAATTAATAGATAACTAACTAAGAAAACTAAGTACCTAACTAACTAAATAAATAAAGATAAGCAAATAAAATTTAATAAATGTAATATATATATATATACAAAAACAAAATAGATAAAAATAAAATATTATTTAAATACATTAAAGAAATAAATAAAAAATAGAAATAAATTTATAAAAATAGCAATTAAAATGTAATAAATTAATAGAAATAAATAGATTAATTAAATAAATAAAAATAAAATATTAATTAATTAATTTAATTAAATAAATACAAAAATCTAAAATTTAAATTAAAATATTTATAAATTAATTAATTAATTTATAAAAATAAGCAAATAAACAAATACAATTGTATAAATAAATCTAAATAAATCAATATAAATAAAATGAAATGAAAATAAAACATAAATTAATTAAATTATATAGAGAAATAAATATAAAAAAATATATATAAAATAATTATAAATTAAATAAAAATAAGCAAATAAACTAATAAATTAAATAAACAAATAAAATTTGATTAAACAAATATAAATAAATAAATATTAATAAAATGAAATAAATAAAATATAAACTAATTAATTAATTAAATAAAATAAAGAAAGAACAAAATAAAAAATATGTAAATAAATTAATTAATAAAAATGATTAAAAATATTTTTTTATAAATACATAAAAATAAATAAATATAAATTAAATGAAATAAAATAAAAAATGTTATATTAGTATTATTACTATTATAATAAATTATAAAAATTTAATTAAAATTAAATAAATAAAGAAGTAAAAGAAAAAAATATATATAAATTAATAATTAAATAAAAATAAGCAAATAAATACATACAATTTAATAAATAAATAGAAATAAATATTAATAAAATGAAACAAATAAAATAAAATAAAAATTAATTAAATTAAATAAAGAAATAAAATAAAAAATATATATAAAATATAAATCTATTAATAAATAAAAATAAGCAAATAAACAAATACATTTTAATGAATAAATAAAAAGCAATATATAAATAAGGAAAAATATAATAATTAATTAATAAATTAAAGAAATAAAGTTAAATAAATATGTAAATAAATAAATAAATAATAAAAATAAACCACTTAATTTAATTAAATGTAAATTGTAATTAAATAAATACTAGGAAAAAAAAAAGAGTTGTCCAGAAATTTTGATTATAAATGTTTATATGCATTGAGCATGCATGGAAAAAACTGATCATGCACACTACAAAAAAAGTAAAGCATCTAAACATTCCTAAATAATAATAGTATAATATCTGGATTTTGCTTTCTCAAGTTCAAAGATGAATATTTTTTCAGAAAACCCCCTTTCATGTGATGATTCAGCTCAATAATCAGCGCTTTAGTTTTTCCCTCCAGAAAGTGGAGCAGAAGTGAGTGTGGATTAAACATTAGCAGCGCTTCACCTCTGTGCAAATACACTGCTTTCCCCTCCAATTATTTCATCATTAATTTACACCCATTATCCAGCGATGATTCATCCGCCGCCACATGATTATGATAATTATTAACTTTTTTCAGCCAATAGGGAGCCTCCGTACGACTGAGACTACAGTTGCCATGGAGATCATCTTTTATTAAAGGCCCCGAAGTGCTAAAGTGTCACCGGACGTATTATTAATACAGTGAAAAGAGGGTTAAAAGATCATCAGGGCTGACAAAAGCACAGAAAGCCGCGACCCGAGAGCTCGTTTCATTCGTTAGGAGGACAGCGTTTGCATTTCTGGACTTTCAGAGGCTTCGTTAGGCTCATTTAAAGAGACGGTACACCCAGAAATAAATGTGCTGTCATCATTAGCTGAACACATGGAACAAAACATGCAAACTTCAAAGCAGTCTTATAATGAGCGAGGAGAAAGAACAGATACATGTGTGATAATGTAAGGAGCAAGTCGACTAAAAATAATTACTATAAGTACAGATACCCAAAACATCTACTTAAATAAGGTAAGGAAGTGTTTGGACTTTGGTGCTTGACACTGCTTAAAACGGTGTGTGTGTGTGTGTGTGTGTGTGTCCCTCAGGCATCGGTGTGATCAGTCTGAACCGAGCGTATCCTCTAACTCTGGGCTCCAACATCGGCACCACGACCACCGCCATCCTCGCTGCCCTCGCCAGCCCCAAAGAGAAGCTGCCCGCCGCCTGCCAGGTACACACACACACCCTTAAACACACACACACACGTATACACACACATGACAGCACACAGACATACGCATGCACACACAGGCATACACGAGACGCATCCACACTCACACATCACAGCGCACACACATGTACAGACACACAAGCCCCCCCCCCACGCACACACACACACACACACATGCACATACACAACATAGCATACACACACTCACACACATACATATACAGACAAACACATATAAACACATGTACAGACACACAAACTACATAGTGCACACTATCATCTATCTATCTATCTATCTATCCATCTATCCATCTATCCATCTATCCATCCGTCTATCCGTCTATCCATCTGTCTGTCTGTCTATCCATCTGTCTATCCGTCTATCCATCTATCCATCTGTCTATCCGTCTATCCATCTGTCTATCCGTCTATCCATCTATCCATCCGTCTATCCATCTATCCATCCGTCTATCCGTCTATCCATCTATCCATCTGTCTATCCGTCTATCCATCTGTCTGTCTGTCTATCCATCTATCCATCTGTCTATCCGTCTATCCATCTGTCTATCCGTCTATCCATCTATCCTGTCTATCTGTCTATCCATCCGTCTATCCATCTGTCTATCCGTCTATCCATCTATCCATCTGTCTTTCCATCTATCCGTCTATCCATCTATCCATCTATCCATCTATCTATCCATCCGTCTATCCGTCTATCCATCTATCCATCTGTCTATCTGTCTTTCCATCTATCTGTCTATCCATCTGTCTATCCGTCTATCCATCTATCCATCTGTCTATCTGTCTTTCCATCTATCTGTCTATCCATCTATCCATCCGTCTATCCATCTATCCATCTGTCTATCCGTCTATCCATCTATCAATCTATCTATCCATCCGTCTATCTGTCTTTCCATCTATCCATCTATCTATCCATCCGTCTATCCGTCTATCCATCTATCCATCTATCCATCTATCTATCCATCCGTCTATCCGTCTATCCATCTATCCATCTGTCTATCTGTCTTTCCATCTATCTGTCTATCCATCTATCCATCCGTCTATCCATCTATCCATCTGTCTATCTGTCTATCCATCTGTCTATCTGTCTTTCCATCTATCTGTCTATCCATCTGTCTGTCTATCTGTCTATCCATCTGTCTGTCTATCTGTCTATCCATCTGTCTATCTGTCTATCCATCTGTCTATCTGTCTATCCATCTGTCTATCTGTCTATCCATCTGTCTATCCGTCTATCCATCTGTCTGTCTGTCTATCTATCCATCTGTCTATCTGTCTATCTATCCATCTATCCGTCTGTCTGTCCATCTATCATTTGTGTTTGTGCACATTTGGTGAATGAAACTGACTCTAAACAGTTTAATGTCTGAGAAAGTCCAAAATTAAGTCAATTTAAAACAAAAATATTAAGTTAAGAACAGAAATGACTGAATGTAAATAATCAGCAAAAGATAGGCTGACTCCACCCAAACCCACTCTCGTCTTCATGTCTCCCTCCAGATCGCGCTGTGTCATTTCTACTTCAACATCTTTGGCATTCTGCTGTGGTACCCGTTCCCGCTGACCCGTCTGCCCATCCGCATGGCCTCAGCTCTGGGCGAGCGCACCGCTAAGTACCGCTGGTTTGCAGTGCTGTACCTGCTGCTGTGTTTTCTGCTGCTGCCGTGTCTGGTGTTCGGCCTCTCTCTGGCCGGTTGGCAGGCTATGGTGGGCGTCGGAGCTCCGTTCGTCGCGCTCACGCTCTTTGTCCTGCTGGTAAACCTGATGCAGGCACGCAGTCCGGCTCATCTGCCTAAAACACTGCGCAGCTGGGACTTTCTGCCGCAGTGGATGCACTCGCTGAAGCCGCTAGACAAGCTGATCTCCAGGAGCACGGCTCTGTGCTGCAGCCCGCTGCGCATCAAGGACCCGGAGCCCCTGGTGGAGCCCTCAGACCTCCAGAAACCGGCCGATCAGTGTTTCGATAACCCTGCGCTAGAGGAGATTCCAGCAGAACCACGAGTGTTCAGACTCAGAGGACTGGAGAGATGCAACAGCACACCGCTGTAGAGATCAACACCAGGGGGCGCACTACAGCAGAGATTAAATTCAATAGGATCTGGATGCAGACTTGATCCAAGCTGAACCTGCATATCTCACACTTGCAATGTCAGACACAATGCACTCAATGAAGCTAGTGACGTCAATGTAAGGGGCGGGGTTAGGGGTGGGGTTAGTTGTACGCTTTAAAAGCATTGCATGCAGCTCACCTTGCTATTGCACCAAGTCTGCATCCAGACCCCTCTTATGAAATCAGCTATGTTATTGAGCCTGTAAGGCTCATTTCTGTATTTATTTCATAATATTTTTAAAAAATACCTGTAACTGTGTTAACTAAAGCAGTATAACTTTTTAAAAGGTAACCTAATGCAATAAAGACATTAGCAGTGACATTTATAACACAGTGGAGTTCAATGCCGACTTCAAGCAGAATTTTGAACTTGATTTGCTCACCGAAGTCTGTGGATTGTCGTGTGACAGTGTGTACATTTAGACAAATTCGGAGTAATTTACACCATTTCATTAAGACATTTAATTTTTTGTCTGCTTTTAACAATAAAACAAACTAAAAAAAGTTACATTGAAATGAATTGACAATCTCAAAACCCTCCTCATCATTGTCTCTCTCCTCTCAGATGGGATGGTGGTCAAAATCAAAGGTTACCATGGGCTAACTTTGGCCCTAATTTTGGACATCTCTGCTATAGAGAGTAAATGGTATATACTATAGAGATGCTATATCACTGTATAGTACTACCATAACACTGTTAAATCATTGATTTTTCTCTCTCTCTTTGCATCTCATACTCCTCAACTGGGTTCTGCCCAGGCCCGGATTGGCTAATCAGGAGGACCGGGAAAATTCCCAGTGGGCCGGTCCGTTTTTTTGGCCGCGAGGGCCGGTGTCCCTAGCTCCAGAATCTGTTGCTCTCAGCAGTCACACTTTTTAAATTAATTTATTTATTTACTTGACCACAGCCTTCTTATTCATTATTTTACCGCAGCTCTGCTCTTTTTATATATAACCAATGATGATATAAATGATGATATAACTCAGATGTGTCAGTTCTCCTTATGGAGCTGTAGTGGGCTAGTGGTTAGCACGTTAAATTACGACGCCTTTACCCGGGATTGATCCTTGCCTGAGTATGTTTTTTTTTTTTTTTTTAATTGTTAAGACATATAATACTGTTAGGGTTGTTGAACATTTAAAGTTCTAAACTAAATCAGCTGTTTTCTCAAAAAACAAACAAAAAAAATGGCGTGATAGTGTAATTAGAAACTGAATTGGAAATGACCTTATTTTAATATAGTCAGTCGTGAACTGAGGTGGGCCGGTCTGAGGCTTGAAACTCCAGGGCTAAAAAAGTCCCACTCCGGCCCTGGTTTGCCACTGTAGCTCCAGAAGCGGAGCGTTATAGATTCACATGCGGCGCTTTCTCAAACACACTTTCCGAGCAAAATCAATCTCCTTTTATTCACTGAGCATTTCCTCAATATGTTGAGAGAATAATGTGCATCTCTGAGGACTCTGAATTGTTTTGTCCTGCAGTCATGCGTGAATGTTTATCATCCGCAGGGATATATGCAGATCTCGCAGAATCAGCGCTTTCAGAGTCTGCGTATGGCACTAACATAATAACCGCAGCGCCATCCCAGCATGCCTTGTGTTATCAAATGCACACATATTAAAGCACAGATTGCGTTTGGTTTAATTTGCTTGCAGAATGCTGATGAGTGCGGCTCACGCGAAGTGTTATTGGGAAATAGTTTTAATGAAAGTATTCAATGTTCACTGCTGTTTTGTATTAATGCGCATTGATTGAGCTTTCAAAATGTTGAAACTGGAAAGAAAATAAGATGTTTCATCCAGTTATAAACACTGAAAACTGCAGAGCTGCTCAGCCAAACAATCAAAACACAATCATTTTTCATGTGTATTAGCAGCCTGATCTCACGAAAAAACGTAAGTATTTTACGTTTTGCCAGTTTAGTGGCTAATTCGTACGAATTCGTATGAGTTCAGTCATACGAAATGGTACGATTTTAAAAAGGAGGCGTGGCACCTGACCCCACCCCTAACCCCAACCGTCATTGGGGGATGAGCAAATCGTACTAAATTGTACGAATTAGATCGTACGAATTCATACGAATTAGCCACTAAATGAAAAAGTTACGAATTGCCGTGAGATTGTGTTGTGTATTGGAGGATTTATGGAAATGCTCCTTTTTGCAATTAATTACACTTTTATTTGACTACAAAAGGCACTCAAACTGTTTTCATTTAGAAATTTTTATAAATTTAACAAATAATATGACCATGTTTGAGCTGTGATGTCCTGCCGTTTAGGTGGGAGTGTCGAGTGGTGAAAGAGGGAGGGGTGTGCATGAAAAGGGGAGTTTCATTAGCCCCTATCACACAGACAGACCTTTCCTGGAAAATTACCGGCAATTTTCCGGAAAGGTTGTATGTGTGAACAGGTCCTTTTTGGAAAAGCCGGTAAATTCGTTCTGGCTATTTTCCGGAAAGAGAAGTTGTAACATTACCGGTAATTTGCCGGAATGCTGCGCTGTGTGAATGCAGAAGGAAGATTGCCGAAATAAGCGCGTGCACGTCTAGAACGTGCTGACGTGAGACGTCTGCTTTAGCCAATCAGAACAGTCGGACACGTTTACGTCCGCGCGGTTTTTGAGAATAAAAGCCTTTGAATATTTTCCCAGACGCATTTAGCTGCTAGAAGTTAGTCAGATCTCGTTTATATGTTCTTCTTAATGCCAACTGTGTAAATAATCATCGATGAGATGCTTATGATAAGCCGTTGTTTGTTTACCTTCAAGCTTTGCGTGTGCCTGTGAAACAGCCTGTGAGCGCCTGCACACGCACATATTATGAACATCTCGACATGCGAAAGTGATCCTGCGAAAGTTGTTCACAATATTGATCATCCACAGAGTTTGTAATTTAGTCAAATGTTTACAAACACAAGCTCAGCCGTTTAAAGCTCATTTGTGGTGAATGATGTCAGAATTTACCGGTATTTTGGAATGGATGTGTGAATGCTCTTTTCCGGAAAATTTCCGTAACGTCCTCGCCTGTGTGAACAGCGCTTTTTTGAATATACCGGTAAAGTCATTTTCCAGATATTTACCGGTATCACTGTGTGAAAGGGGCTATTGAGAGCACTATACGGCTGATTTTCACACCGGCAAAACAGACGCAGGGGAGATAGACTGACTGCATTTACATGGACATCAGTAATGGAATTGTCGCCGTAATGTGAATAAGACAATACCAGTATTAATGTGTTTAGTTGCTTTTTGAATGTTCCTTTCATGATCTATTTTACATGCTATTGCACATAATTCGATCAACATCACTGCGTCACCGTGCTGTCCACTTTTCCTCTGGAGTTTCATGTCATTTTGGGTGTTTCAATCTTAATTCGTTTAACTGCAATTTGCCCCCCCCCCCATGTTTTCAGATTTTACCACATGCTCACCCTGTTATTTACTTCTTTATTAAATTTTCTGGAACCGTTCTTCACCAGACTTGGACCCATTCGTCGCGGTCAACTCCACTCTGCATCTCAAGTCTGCCAACATACGTGTTGAGCTGCCAGACAAACTGGTAACAGCGGTAAAGCCATCCACATACAGGTAAGTGTAAAAAAGGAACGACGTCATACCGCTTTAAAGACGAAATGCAGCCATACGTTCCTCTGGCTACATAATCTCCAGAAACATATACAGGGCTACACTTTCAGAATGAGCCTGTGTCGGATAAAACACTGACGGCCAATCAGAATCCAGTAAAAAACAGACGACACTGTGGAGAAGCACCTCGCTTAAAAGATTATTAAAAGATCATTACTATCCTGGAAACAATGGGTTACACCATGGGAAATAATGATCAAAAAATAGAGTTCTAAGCTAGCAAATTGTCTAAAACTAACAGTATGGCAGGAATCCAGTGCTAGTTTGTGTGTATAATGCTGGAGAACTGACTGCAATTGCTAAATGGACTGTTTGATGATATGATATGACTTTTATAAGGGAAGAAAATAAGTATAAATCAATATAAACAAGCATAAACCCTTTTAGTTTTGCCTATATGATTACAAGATGTAAGCAATAAGTCATCGAGTGATTCTTCTGCACACTATTGCAGTCAGTGGCGTTCTGCTGCTGAAAGTCCCCTTTGGTTTGTGGACTCTTCCATAAATCTGCATTAAGTGAGCGCGGGTCAGTTGTTAGGGCACGGATCCAACTCCAACATATTTCCACATAAAAGCTGAATCTGCATGCAGGCTTTATCTGTGATGGTAATACGAGTCTGAACGCTGCCGGGTCAGGGAGATTATTCAGAGCAAATGCTGGAGGGCTTTCACGGAAAGCTGATACGCCGAGGCTGAATTGTGTGTTCCTTCAGCTGAATGGAGGATTAAGTCGAGTATGTGAAGGACGTAGCGTTTGCTTTAATTAAATATCTGCTCTTTAAATGTGAGTAGTGTCAATGAAAAGTCAAGGAGCCCTACAGTATATCATGCACTCGGCAGCAGGGGTGATGCACGTGTTTTATAGCTAGTTTCAGCATGATGCGAGTCTCATTTTCAGCTTTTGCACTTTCAGCATGGATATTGCAATGTGGGAATCTGCATCACACACATCACAGGATCTGCAATGCTGCATTGGGATTGTAATTAACCAGAAAACAAAGTTCTTATTTAGGCTCGGGCGGTGATACGGTATATCGCAGGAACTAAAAATAGCAACGGTGTCAGTTTCAATACCGTTATACCGTCATAAAAAACAATGCACTTAATAGGAGACAAGTATTAAATATTAAACTCCTTTATTTAATGCCTACAAACATGTACCGTATGCAGGATTGTCATCATGGAAAAGTTTGGAGGAGAGAGAGGGAGAAGTGAGTGACCTGCAGTTTGGCAGTATTTCCGGTTTCGACTGAACAAGAGGGGAGACGTGGTAAATACGAACTAGAGATCTGCATTGTACCGCGGAAGCCAACCAGATTTCTTGCGGTGCAAGAATAAATTTCTGAATAAAGCGCAGGGGCGGTGAGTATTTGTTATTTGTTAGGTTACACCACTGCCTTGATTTCCTCACAGATGCTGATCATTAGATTATTATTAAGATTTTCCCGCTGAATCCTAAACATTATGGAGTCCTTGATGGAGCCTGTCGGAGATGCAGGTTTCCTCGGAGAGTTCTGGCTGATGACAGTGCTTCTGCTCTGTAATAAAAGATAAAAACAGCTCTAAAGCCGTGATAGAAAAACACATTTCTGCTGAATCTCTGAGAAATGGCTGAGGGGAAACACACACAGCTGTTATCTGCAGATTACCTGAGAGTATAAACGCACACACGAGCTGAACGCACTCAAGGCTGTGTTGAATACTAATAGTTCACACACGGTACTGTACATGCTGAAAGAGCACTTCTAGAGCTCAAACATGTCACTGAAGGCTGCTTTAAATGTTATCATGTCTTACAATAAAGAGACAGCTTGAGGATTCTGTTCCTCTGAGTTCATACGTTATAGCCATGTTTGATTTTTATTTTTAACTTTAAAATATTTAGTCATTTAGAGCATTTTTAGACAATTGTATTTGAAATTTGAATAAAAGGTTACATTATATTTTTTAAATAATATATATAACTTAAATATTATATATCACTTAAACCTATATTTAATTAATCCCTATATATATATATATATATATATATATATAGTTGAATATAAACTATTAGTACTGGACAAAGATTATTCGTGATTAATCACATCCAAATTAGAAGTTCATTTTGACATATAAGTGTATATAAAGTATTATTTACACTCACCGGCCACTTTATT